CCCCCCCCGCCCCCCGCGGGCGGCCGCGGGGCGGCGTGGCGCCCCGGGAGGGAGGGAGGGAGGGAGGGAGGGAGGGAGGGAGAGAGAGGTGTTTCAGGAAAAGGAAATAAGAAGGTTGTGTATCTGATAAGTACTGGGAAACATCTGATTATTCTTAACCTTTATTTTCAAAATAGAAGACATATACATAGACATCATCTGTGTTCCTTTAGCAACCTGAACAATACATTTATAGGTTCCTTTCAAATGGTGCATTTTTCAGCAAAATTTTATTTCATCACTGTGGTTTCCAAGATATTTTTTGATTCTGGTGTAATTCCTTCTTGGCATTTCTTCTTTTGTTCGATGGAATGGAACGTATATGTGAGTATGTTTGTGCGTGTGCGTGCATACATGAGCACGCATGTGTGTGTCTATGAATATACATGCACACTTATATAGGCACACACACGTTCAGTAGTTTAAAAAATATTGAGTTTATAAATAAGAGATCTGGGACCAGATGTAAAACCTTGCTCTACCATTTATTATTCATGGGGCTAATTAAAGGCTTCATCACTCATAAGCTAATAATTCAGAATCTGCCTTTCCTCTTTGGCATGAAAAAGACTTACACAATGACTGGCATGCTGCATTTGCTTGGTATCTAAGATCTGAAATCAGGAAGGGTAGCTTGCTTTTCAGGATGTTGGACATAAGTTATACTGAATTCTTCCGGATAATAGCAGTTCTCACTTTCACTGCTAAGTGAATGTGTTCACTCTAGCAAGGGAGCTTTCTTCTCAGGTGGCTTGGGAGGAGAAAGGAGAGAAGAGTAGTGGTCAGTGATTCCTGAAGAAAAGTGAACCCTCACAGCCTGATGTCCCTCCTGCACAAAAGTTTCCCTCTCATTTAAAGCAACCAAGGTTTCTGTTCCATATCCCATAACCACTAGTAGTTCCCTTGACCCGTTGTATTTACCTGGGAGGTGGGTCACTTGGATCTCTGAAAACCACCTTGCTGGCACATCTACAAAGGGTTTTGTGCACATGCTCGGACTGTGAGTGAAGCTGCCAACAGATAGACTCACTCCTCAGTGGAACAGGTTCAGATGTAGTTCCAGGGAAGTTCCTGCAGCACACACAGAGCCTTTGTTTTTTCAGAACAAGTTTGATTTCAAAGTCCTGTATGTGGCTGTACTTTGGTGGGAAAAGTTTCTTCTCGAAACTTGGGGATAGATTGGTGATTGTATCTGGGGAATAATACTGTACTAACTGAATAGAAAAGCCAGAAGCAAGGGTTGTGTTATTGTCGCCAATAGACCTACCTCTGATGCATCAAAACAGGTACAGAAACGCCCTGTGGTCGTGATCTGTGTTGTGAATTTGTGTACCAGTTTGATAGTTAGTACTGATATTTAGTTAGATTCTAGTTATCACTAACCTTTGTTGTCTCTGGAATGTCATCTTGCAACTAATTAGGGCCTCCACTCACCTTTCCTTCTTATTCTTTTTATACTGTGTCTCCTTTGTCACTGTGTGATTCATTCTCCACTCAAATGGGGAAATTAAACCTTCTATGGGAAAGTTAAGACACTGAAGTAGCTAAGAGAAGAGACATCATAGAGTGACAAGCCACTGCTGAGGCAGTGCAACTGTTTCAGGTAGAATCCTGCATGGAGAGGTTTAGCATGAACAGATACATGCAAACTGTAGGCAAGCTATATCCAAATATATTTTGCAACTGTCAAATGAGGGTCAGATTAAAGAAATTCACAAGTGCAAGCGCTCTGTGATTCTAATGCATGTGTTTTCTTATTCGTGGCACTAACTGTGAGTTAATGTTTTACATTCTTAACTATTCTGCAGTCCATGTAAGAGGACCTGTAGCCATGCTACAATTTTTTTTAACAAGATAGGAAGATTGTCTAAATATTAATATAGTGTTGTTTTAAATACGGCTTTAATATATTTATAATTTCAATTATATTATTAACCCACTAATGTTCTCTTTAGGCACCTAAGTGACCTATATCCCCTTGTAAATAGATTCCACACAGGATCTAAGGAGTTATTAATGGTTATGAGCTATTGGGCTCAGAATTCCAACATTTAAGTATATTATACCTATTTATTGGTATTATGAATTAATTTAATTTATTTATCATATTTATGAGTATTAATGTTGACTATAGGAGTCTTCTAGATAAGCCAAATTTTAACTCTTTAGAAAAATCATCCCAGAGATTTGGTCATTGAGGCATGCCTTTTCTCACCTTGCTACAGAACAATAGACAAAGCCATCTGCTAATGGATTACAAATTTCTGGAGGAAAGTGGCATAGGAAGTTTTCTTGCTGTTACAAGTGAATGTGAAGATCTTCTGATATATAAGCTTGGAGGGAGATGGGGTCTGAGTGGCAAGGTTTCCTGCATAGTTTTTGGCTCTGTGGGTATGCCTGGAAAGTGTGCCTGGCATGTTTGTTTTAAAAATCCTCAACTCCTTGGTTATATGCCACAAGCCTTTGGCAAACTGTAACCATTGATTGGAAAGGGCTTATTGTACAATTATCTTTCTTGGCTTTATTTTATTTTTACATTTCTTTATTTACTATGTGTGTATACACACACACACACACACACACACACACACACACACACACAATGGTGATTGTGTGGAAGTCAGGGGACAACTTTTGGGTTCCCACTTCCACCCTTTGGTTCCTGGGGATTGACCTCAGGTTGTCAGACTACCACAGCAAGTACCTTTAGCCTCAATCCACCTTCCAACCCATGAATATCTTGGAAGCAGCTTCACGGAGTGTGTTTGCCTCTTTACTCTAGGGTCCAGGTCCACTGGCTGGCCAGGTGTTAATGATCCTAGTTTCCTTAAACTACCAGAGGCAAGAAGCTGTGCTGAGAATCTGGCTCAGGAAGAATACGTGAAGGCCTGATGCTGTCTTAAGTGGATGCTCTGTATATGCAAGCAGGAAAGAAGGGTGGGTTTGGGTCACTGAGGGAAGGTGTGTTTGGCCATGGCCAGTTCGGTGTGGGGGTCTGTGCACACAGTCTTCAGGTTACTTCTTTGGTATGTGCTAGTGGGCATGTAGTTTGATTTCTGGGCGTAGCTCAAGGTCTGAGTTGGCTGCTGACTGACTTTTTTTTTTCCACTTGTACAGTGTAGAGAGATTGTGTTCCTAGCACCTACTCACTGGAGAGCCAAACTTGTTCAACTGGCTGCTCCCTAAACAAAAATAATTACTTACATCTGATAAGGTCCCAAAAAGGAAGTAAGAGGAAATGAAAACAAGAACACCTGAGCCCTAAGACATTTTCAAACAGGCTCGGAGCACTGAGCTGAGCTCAGACTGGAATTCCAGGGCCTTCTCCTTTGCTCCACCTGCTGGGTGCTGTTTCTGCTGATGTTACCAGGACCTCTTCTGCCCCATGCTCTCCAGAGGATGGAAGCCTTCTGAACTGCTTTTCTCTTTGCTGTTTTGGCTCACCACCTACCCAAATGAGGTAGACTTTGCCATCTAATTGTTCAGTGACTTTATAGATTGTGTGCAAACTCACAGACAAAACCTTTTCTCTCTATCTCTCTCTCTCTCCCTACCTCTTTCTCTCTCTTCTACCCTACCCCCATCTCTCTGTTTGGTTTTTTGAGAAAGGGTCTATCTATGTAGTCCTGACTGTTATGTAACTCACTATGTAGAACAGGATGGCTTCAAACTCATGAGGATCCCCCTGCCTCTGTGTCCTGAGTGCTGGGACTGGCTGGCCGATTTCTCTCTTTTGTATGCAATTTTTCACCATCTGCTTATTTCTGATTAGCCGGCTGCACACCTGTTTCCCTTCTGCCTTGCGTAATCTCGATCCACAGTGTCTCATGAGCAGGGAAAAGTGAGAAGGTGTGAGGCTGAATTTGGCAGATTGCTTTGCTTATTTATTTATTTATTTATTTATTTGGCAGAGAGCTTGTGGTTCAGTAAGTAGCACTTTGATCATCAGCGTCAATACTAAAACTCAGTGTGTAACTGTGATGTGACCTAGGATGGCTAACTGACAGTTGAGAAAATCCCTACGTTTGGTTTCAGACTTGTCAGAATTAAAGCAGTAGGCTGCACTGACTCCAGAGCCACTACTTCTCTCGGCAAGGGCTTCTCTCAGTAAGTTTCTAGACACATAGAAGAGTGGGAACTGTTGCTTCTGTTCAGAAAGAAGCAGGGTTGGAGGTGTCATTTAAAAGGTGTGTGGGTTGTAAGGAATTGTTGAAGGTAGTTAGATAAAGAACGTGCTTAGTCACAGTAGCTGTGCTATGAACAGGAACATTAGGTCCACATGGCTGGACTCTCCCACATCAGCTAAGGAGGGAGAAGGGGCTCCTGAGCCCTATCATGTGCTGCTAATCTAGCTGGTAATCTATTGTTAACTAACACATTTTTACCAGAGTGGGAGGCAAAGCATACAGTTGAGCACCCCACTGGTGGATTTAGGGTCAGACAGGTGGCTGTAGTTAAACTCTGTGGGGTAAGAAAAAACAAAACAAAACAAAACAAAACAAAACAAAGAAGCAAAAATTCAACAAACTAATACATAAAGGAAGGAGTATTGTAAGGAAGCGGCAGGAAGAAAATGAGTGTGTGTGTGTGTGTGTGTGTGTGTGTGTGTGGTGTTGGGTGTGTGTGTGTGTTGGGAGAGAACCGGAATGCATTATATACTTGTATCAAATTTCCAAAGAACAGAACATATTAATAATAAAAAGAATCTCCAATAGTAAACAAGAAACTAGACATTGTAATCTATTTGGAAAATTGGTAACTGGATCAGGAAACATTTTTATGTACAATATTTTACATTATGATTTTATTATCTTGTGTGAGTGCCTGCATGCCACCACATTAGCGTGGAGGACATCTTGTGACATAGGCCTCTTGCTCCAGGCTCTGTTTGTTGTTTTTCCTGCAGTGTGCAGCAGACTAGCAGGCCTGTGAGCTTTAGAGGCGCTCCTTTCTCTGCTTCTCATCTAGGATGGCTGGGATACACAAATTCCAGGGATCCAAGTCGGGTTCTCAGGCAGTCAAAGCTAGCACTTTACATACTGAATCATCTCCAAGCCCTATGTTTGTTTGAAACACATTTGCATATAGATGTATTACCTTTTTATTTAAAGGAGAAAATCAAAAGGTGGCTCTTTCTATAGTGACACTGTCTATAGTCTAGAACCTGGTTAGAATGTGGGTTTGTTGAACTACCTCTGATCGGTACAGAGGAGGTCCACATAACTTTTCAGAGCTGAGGGACCAAATAGTTTTCATTAATAAAGGATGTTTACTCAATTCTTCAGAGGGTGCAGGTATATCAGAATAGGCAAGCAAAAGCATAAATAATCTCTCAACATTGCCGTATATATCTATTTATTCAGACAATGGTTTGGATAAAGGTGGAATGAAATGCGATGTGTATAAAAATGTGACATGTAGCTGAAAGGAATTTAACATACTTAAAGATTGTAGTGGGGGGTAGATATTTTATCAGCAGTCAGGATGGCGCTGTGGGTCCCTACTTTAGCATGGTCACAGAGGTCTAGGTGCTTTTACAATACTTTCAGTAACAATGAATAACGGACCAAGGCTGGAAAGTCGCATAAGAGAGAAAGTAAAATGCATGGGGGGGGGGAATGAATTTTGTTCAGACTGAATTTTAGACAAAAGAGGAGTGGGTGGCTCCGAAAAGACAACTAGTCATAGGTATATTTAAATTTTCTACATGTGCTGTGTTTTTTTTTCCTAGCATAACACACGAAGTTCTTAGAAATATTGTATCACTGCGCCTGTGTTCCCTGCATCCTCTGTGGACCTAGCAGAGAAGGCTGGCCCCGTGGACATGGGAGAGAAGGGTCACCTAAGCCGGGTGCTGTTGGAATGCAGTCTCAGTGACAAGCTGTGTGGTAAATGCAGACACCACATCTGCCTGTAACTGGATGCCAGAACAATGGAGACTGAGTTCTGGATGGTTCTAGAGGAGGAGGGCTGGTTTTATTTCTAGTGGAAATGAATGGGGGGGGGTAGAAGGCATAATTTTTACAGGGTGAGGGATACATTCCAATCAGAGATAACAAAAAAGTTCCTTGATGGTCTAAACCACAGGATTAATTTCTGGCTAACATTGTCCTCCGTGGGACTCCATTGAAGGGAATGAAGGAAAATCAGGAGCACTGAGGCATGCTGGGTAGGGGAAACTGGTAGGCTTCTTACCTCTATTCCCGTTTACGGCCTACACAGTTGTTCGAGACGGGCAGTATGAAGTAATCATTGTTCCAGCTTTCCTGGTTGGTGGCTTCCTCATCCTTCTTGCAATCATCCTGTGGCTTTTTATCAGAGGACAAAGATCCCAAAGGCAGCGCCCTGGACCCCGAGGTAAGGTTCAAACTCTAGGGCTAGGCATGGGCTCAGGAAAGATTGCTTTTAAGAAAATCATAAGCCAGGTTTTCAATAGGACCAACCCATAGTCAGATCTTACAAATTATAAACCCAAGCCGCTCAATATCTCTCACTCCCAATGATTTTCTCAATACCTGATCCCAACTCTATAGTGACCTAGTTCTCCCTTGGCAACCTAAAATAATTCTTGAAGGTCATGATTGGTCTCTCAGCTTATATATTTTAAAACCTTCCAATAGCTCGTTGTGTTCTATAGAAGAGAAAATAGTAAGGTTCGTCCCATGGCCCTGTATGATCTGGCTTCCCTGGCCCCGTCTCCCACATCTGTCCCGCCATCCGTTGGCTCCATCTGCACTGCCTTCCTTGCTGCTCCTTAAACATCCTAAGTGTATCCTTCTCGTGGTGCCTTCATCCATCTTGTTCCATGTGCTACAGTGACATCATGGTTTGCTCTGTAATTACTTCTAGGCCTTTATTACATGTTACACTATCTGAAAGGCCTAATTTTGGCCTCTATAGGTAAAATAGTATCTCCTTTTGCTATTTCTTCTCCTAACACTGTCTCATTCATTCTTTTTTTTTTAAAGATTTATTTATTTATTATATATGAGTACACTGTAGCTGTCTTCAGACACACCAGAAGAGGGCATCAGATCTCATTACAGATGGTTGTAAGCCACCATGTGGTTGCTGGGATTTGAACTCAGGACCTCTGGAAGAGCAGTCAGTGCTCTTAACCACTGAGCCATCTCTCCAGCCCCTGTCTCATTCATTCTTAATGTTATATGTCCTATTATTGAAAATTAATCTTGGGCAGATCTGAACTGTGTCTGTCCTCAATTCAGAGAGTACATGTGGTATATGGTGATATTTACTGACTAGATTGATTGACAAATTATTAGAAATCTCAGAAGGAAACTTTCTTATCCAATTGTAATTGTGGCTGTAGATGGGAGGTAGTCTCAGAAGACCTTGTGACTAAGGTTCAGGAAAACTTAAAATGATCCCACATTTGAGGGCAACCTGGAGAAAGAAAAACTACAACTTATGGCTGTGTATCTATTTATATTCTTCCTTTAATTCTGGAAGTCATATGACTGACTTAAAGGTTATTCATGCTGGTAGTAACTGTCATGTTTTGGTCCTGTGGTGTGGATTTCTTTTTAGAACAGTCATATCTTGGTGCTATACTCATGGGGAACACCAAAGGTAATTCCATAGATTATTTAAAAAAAAAAAAAACCTGACCACTTTCAAGGGCTTCATTTTTAGTTTTCTACAAGGAATGGAATTATTATGATCATTGTAGACTCTCAGTGTTGGTATTCATTCATTGAGAAGTATCAGAAGATATTGTGTTAATCATAGAGAAAATTTCCTGGCCAGTTTGTTCAATCTGCTTTTCTGGTATCACCAGGGCAGGGGACAGTTGATAGACATTATCTGTTTGTTCTAGGCACTACTTCTGTACCTGAATCTAGGAGCCAAAGCCAGGAGGCAGCAGGACATGGAGAAAAAGTTCTCGTGCCTCTTAAGGAGACCTCAGTGGAGAGCTTTCTACGAGCAGTCACGCCTTCCCTGGCTAAGTTGCAGGTGCCCAGGGAACAACTCTTGGAAGTTCTGGAGCAGATCCACAATGGTAGTTGTGGGACCCTCTATCATGCAACAGTGACCACCAGGGATCACCTTAAGCCAAAAAGTGTCGTCCTCAAGGCTTTAGAAGGTGATGTAGGAATTCAGTTTCTCTCCCCCTTTTATCTTTGATGTGAACCTGTTCCTGAGACTGGAAACATTAAGATGCCTATAAGCACATATGCTTATAATTGTGTGTAAGGGAAGCTTGGTGCAGAGTTGTTCTTCCTGAGTCTTTGGATCTGTAGCTCACTCTTGCCAACTGAAAACCGTAAAGTAGACATTTCCATAGTAAATGCTACTTGGCCTAGGATTATGAGATTGTTTCTTCATTTTCCTTTACTATTTTTATTTATTATTAAGTAAAATACCTTTAAAAATTAATTATTTGTGTGTGTGTATGCATGGCATATCTGTGTGAGTGCAGGTGTGTGCTGTACAAGTATGAGGTCACAGGTGACCTTTCAGGTGTTGGTTCTCTCTATTGTGACTGAAAAGCTATCAGCTTTGCATGCCACTCACTGGTCACCTGCTTTCACCATCTTTTTTGCCATATGTCCTTTCTTGATATTGTGTCTCTTTCCCTCCCTTTCTTTTTTTCTCTTTCAACTAGCATTGGATACATAGAACATAAATCAAGGAAGGGCTAAACATAATAAAAAATGTCTATCAAAACTCCCAGATGGTGATGTTGTGATATGAACAGAACACTGTTTACTCAAGGAGGTGAAAACCTGTCCAGTTCTAAGACCCTGACTCCTTTATTTCTGTTAAAGTATGGGTGACTGAGCATCACTGTCTTCTAGATGGTCCTCCCTTCTGTCCCCTTTATGACTGCACTTCTTCCACTGTTTGAATGTCACCATCTCCATGTGTCTTTTGCTCCTTGCCTCCTACTTATCAGCTGCACTTAACCATTCACTGACGCCCTACTCTTCTGTTTTTCACAGACCCAGTTGGACTCCAGGAGGTCCAGGATTTTATAGGGCGGATCCAATTCTATCAGTACCTGGGGAAACATAAGAACCTGGTACAGCTGGAAGGCTGCTGTACAGAAAGGCTGCCACTCTACATGATGCTGGAGAATGTAGTCCCAGGGAACCTGCTCAGCTTTCTTTGGACCTGTCGCAGGGTGAGTAATGGGGAAGCTACACTAGTAAGGAAAAGCTTTGATTAGTGTTTCACACGTCAGTTGACACCACAGATGTCAGAATACGCAGCCTTTATAAGGGTGAAACAATTATCACCTTTAAATGGTACTATGACAATGTAAGTGTGAAGCAGTTATCTCAGAGCTGGTGTCTGTGGATGTGGCTCAGTTGGTAGAATGCTTGTCTAGCACTAAGCCTGAGTCTGATCTCAGCACAGGATAAAACTGTGAGTGGTGGCATTTACCTGCAAGGCTAGCACTGAAGGGAGGATCCTGAGTTCAAGGTCATTCTCAACTATTCATCCATTTTAAGGCCAGTCTCAACTCCTTGAGACTCAGACTGAAAAATAAAAATTCCCTCCAGATACAGATTGAACAGGTTGAATTTGTATAGTTATGAGTATTCACACACAAACATGTAACAATACTTAGAAGAGGTGAGAGCAAGAAGGGAAATAAACTTGGAAAGTTTAGAGGGAGGTAAGGGAAGGGGCAAGTGATGTAATCACATTACAATCTCAAGAGCAAAAGTTATTAAAGCAACAAAATACTGAAAACAATATCCTTAGTTTTCTACATGTTCCTCCCTGAAGATCTGAAGAAACCAGGACCCCTGGTTTCTCCATTGCTTATGAACAAGCTCAAGATTAATTGGACCCTAAAATAGGCTGATCTCATACAACTGGAGGTGGGTGGAGAGGTGCCTGTTGACGAAGACTTTGCCCTGTTCTGTGAATAAAGGAGTGTAGTCCCCAACAGCTTAAACCTTTCAAGAGATCATCCATCTGCCACCAGTTCAGTGCTCCTGCCAACAAGCCACTTCCAGCTCTTCAGAGCTGCCATCTTCTCTATTTCAGCCCATTTGCATTTGTTTTCTTACCAAACAAGGCTTCTCTTCATGTGGCTTATGTCATCCTCCTATCTTCCCCTTTCCTTGAGGTGGCTCTCTTCTTCCTCCTATCATCACGTGGCCTGATAGGTGCTGCACATTTCCTGTGTACATTACAATATGTAGCCATTTGTTTATTTACATTTTCCTGATTGTGGGTCACACAGCTAGCATTTAGGACGTCTGCAAGGCAGCAGCTATCAGGCTCAGATGAGAAGCTGCACAGAGTGACTTTCTCCAATTTCTTTTGGTTTGTTTGTTTGTGATTTGAAATTTTTCTTTTTAAAAAAATGTATTTTCTTCACTTTTGAATCCCAAGTTTTTAACAGGGAAACTGGCATGTGTAGGCATTCCCTATGGCTATTTTAATCATGTGCATGTCTGTACACACAGTCCCAAATAAACTCCTCATGTTATTCAGTGGAGAGCATCATCCCTGCTTGTTTTGCTTTTTGTTTTTGTTTGTTTGTTTGTTTGTTTTGTTGCTTTTTTCTGCCTGCTGTTCAACAGCTTTCTTTAGCATTTATGCAGTTCAGGAAACCTCATGCCTCTGCATGTCTGCACATATCTAATGTTTGTCTCTAACTTAAATACTTTTCAGGGTAGAGAGAGATGGATCAGCAACTAAGAGTGCCTCTTGCTCTTGTAGAGGACCAGGGTTCAGTTCCTACCATCTACATGGAGGCTCACAGTTATCTTTAACTCTAGTTCCAGTGGATCAGATGCCATTTTCTGGCCTCCTATGGTACCAGAAATTCGTGAGGTGCACATACATACATACAGGCAAACATTTACACTCATAAAAGAAACATAAATACATCTTAAGTTTTTGCACTTTTCTCTCTTTCTCTCTCTCTCTCTCTCTCTCTCTCTCTCTCTCTCTCTCTCTCTTTGTGTATGTGTGTGTGTGGGGGGGAGGGAGAGATAGAGAGACAGACAAAGACATAAACAGAGAAAGACAGAGGGAGAAACAGACACAGAGAGAGGCAGAGATAGAGTCAGGTACAGAGAAAGAGACAGAGACAGAGAAATAGAGGCACATGAAAGTCAGAAGACAACTTGCTGGGAGTCACTTCTGTGCCTCTACCATGTGAATTCTGGGTTGGCTTGGTGATAAGATTCTTGACCTTCTAAGCTATCTCTCCAGACAAGCCTCCTTGACTCCTAATCCTTATATTTTTATGTTGTCCTTAGCTTTGATATCTGCATTTCAGAGTTTCTCTACCACAATTTAAAAAAAATATGACCAAGTCATTTTTTAACATAGTTTTCTTTGCTTTTTAGGATGTGATGACCATGGATGGCCTGCTCTATGATCTCACAGAAAAACAAATATATCACATAGGAAAGCAGGTCCTTCTGGCCCTGGTAAGATCAGCATCAATGAAAACTGATGGTGGTATTTTCTGATCAGCCCAGTAGTTACGCTGACAATTCTAGATAGTGGATCTATTGTAAGGTAGTTAGACAAAGCTAGGGGAAGATTCTTCACCAACAGTTTGTTTTTCAGCCTCATATTTATAAAATGATTTAGATAATACCATGCATACACTATGAGGCATTCCAGGCAGAGGACTACTAATTTAGGATTGGTATAGTAATCTAGAGGGACTGTGAAAGTTTACTCAGTTTAGATTTTAAAAGCAAAGTTGGTATCTGAACCCAAGTAGATGTAAAGCAGGGAAGAGGGGAAGGAAGATGGAGGAGATTTAGAGGGAGGAAATAAATCGGTGGAAGGACAGAAATACAGACTCATGCCTGAAGAACAAGACAAACCAGCTCAGGATTGTGTGGGGTGGGAGGCTGGCTGTGATAGGAGATGTGATATAAAATATATGCATTATATAAACTTTTAAAAGTAAGGAACACAGGTAAGAGAACTAAAACAGGAAAGTCCCAACTGATCTTTTATTTTTAAGCCAACTTAAAAAGATTTTAAAAACTCAGGGTTTCAGAAAAAAAAAAAAAACCTTTACCAGAATTACTCAGGAAGTTTACATAAGTATGCCTGTGAAATTATTTGGACATATTTCTAAGGGATTTTATTTTAAAATAGAAACACCGAGGCTTTGTGAAACTATGATGTTAGGCTTTATTGTATTTTGCTACCACAACATGTGAAATGTATCAGGGTCTAAAGGGACTCTTTTTGAGTGTGTGGTGGTAGTACTGGGGATTGAACACATGGCCTCTTGCTAGGCAAGGGCTGCATACCTGGCCTATCAGCTATCTATATGGAAATACGAAGACACAGAGTAAAAAGGAAGTGATGGTTCTGGTTGGAGCTTCCATGGGATGAGGAGAGAACACGCCTCACACAGCAGTTATCTGTGCCTCTTGGAGGGTGTAGTCACAGCATGGCTGAACTGTGAGCTCCAGCCTACCTTACTTCTGGAATCATAAGTACAGAGGTGTTCTACAGGGGTGTTCTCATCAAGCAGATGTACCCGTTAGGCACTGTGTCACTTGTCACACAAGGCAAGGCCAGGCTTTTTGTTGTTACCTTCAGTGACCTTAAGTTTAGCACACTCTTCAATTTTTCTCACTATAGTATAATTCCCTTTTATATATCTTAATTCTGGTCACCATATTTAGTTCCTTTGTTCTAAAAATTTTCCAAGAGGCAGAAACCTGCCAGTCCTGGTCTCCTTTTTCACCAGTGATTGGAAGCTGTCACTTTAAGTTTCTAAATGTCCTTGTTCTGTTTTTGAGCGTCAAAGCCCCAGATCTCTGGCTCTTCGGTCATACACAGTTTTCCTGTTTTTCCACACAGCTTGACTGGCTTGATGCCAGAGGAGGTGATACAGCACATGTCACCAAGCCACCTTGATTTTCACCTGCTTTTCTAACCACACCAGAATCCTTTGATCCTTTATAATGCAAGTCAGTACCCCTCTCTGTCTAGATGGGAGTTTAGCAAATCTGTGCTAAAAACCTTAAAGTCTAGTTTTATAAGTTCTCAGAGAACTTTGATCTAGAGCCTAGCTTATGGATTATTAGTGGATCGTTATGATCTGTACCCCTTCCTGAGTTAAGAGACCAGATCTGGGCACAATCTTGGCCTTCTGTGTCCCTTTGCATTTGCCTTAAAGATACTTCATTTAGCTGTAAGGACAGAATGAGATGGTGATAACCTTTATATAAGTTTATGACATGACATTCAGCTTTACTGGACATCCTGCTTTGTTCCAGAATCTACCTGAGTACCATCTAAGGGAAAGTACAGTCAAGGGGCAGGGTAGGGCGTAGGGCTGACCACAGCACATGAGGTTATGTTTTCAGAGTCCAGTGTTAGGGCTGGGCGTGTAACAAAGAGCAGAGTGCTCACCTAACATGCCCGAAGCACCAGGATCTGTCCTTAGCACTGGAGTGAAATCCCTGCATTGGTGCCATTTGGATTATTCCCTGAGTTTGGTGATCCTAAACCTAAGGTGAAAAGCTCCAATCCCTTACCCTGTTTTGGAAATGATCTCACTGATTAGTGAGAGTGCTGGAGCAGAGAAGACCTTTGTCTTTTGGAGGCCACCTAGGACTGTCTTACCTGTGAACTTTGACCTTCAGAAGGCCGATTACTTTTGATCATGTGCTGACAGGAATTCCTGGAGGAGAAGCATCTGTTTCATGGGGATGTGGCCGCCAGGAACATCCTGATCCAAAGTGACCTGACTCCCAAACTTTGTCACCTGGGCCTGGCTTATGAAGTTCATGCCCATGGGGCCATCTCCTCTGCTCGCTCCAGCAGCATCCCTCTCAAGTGGCTCGCTCCAGAACGGCTTCTCCTGAGACCTGCAAACATCAGAGGAGATGTGTATGTTATTTCTGTTCTTTTGTTTCCTCTCTTTGTGGCCTGTGCTTTCCCCCGGAATATGAATATGCAATTATTTCTGCAAAAGAGTCAAACATACTCGTAAGCAAAAATGTTTGTCAACTGCCTTCAATCTTTTTTTTTTTTAATGCTTTTCCCAGTAGTTCTTGTGATTAACAGCACTTTCATTAGGAAAGGAAAAAGTGAAAATAGTTTGCAAATCTATGTCAGAGGACTTACTTTAGTAGTCTTGTTTAAGGAAAGTCTTGCTTAAGGTGCTACCTTAAGGGCACAAGGCTACATAAGAACCAGGAAATGAATTTGAAATAAAATATTTACACATGTTTTAAGTCATCTCTTTAAAAAATATTTACTTCGCTGGGCAGTGGTGGCACACACCTTTAATCCCGGCACTTGGGAGGCAGAGGCAGGTGGATTTGAGTCCGAGGCCAGCTTGGTCTACAGAGTGAGTTCCAGGACAGCCAGGGCTACACAGAGAAGCCCTGGCTTGGAAAAACCAAAAACAAAAAAACCAATTTACTTCTTATATTCATGTGCCTGCATGAGTTTATGAGGACCATGTATGTACAAGTGCTCATGTTGGTCAGAAGAGAGTGTTAAATCCCCATGAGTTATAGGAGGCAGTGAGCCAAAATTTATGTGCTAGCAACTGAACCCAGTCCTCTACAGGACCACTGAGCTATCTATCCACTCCCAGCTCATGTTAAGTGAAAACTTTTGCATAAATATTCATTTATTGGACTTCTGAAATGGAAAAACATCTATATTTTATGGTGGGTATTGAATATCCAGGTATAGCGCATAAGCCAGATCCTGCATTCACCTCCCAAATGCAGGAGTTCCATGTGTTTGCCACCATGCTCAGATATAAATTGTGTTTCTTGTCTGAATAGCAGCTGTAGTGGTGACTAATACCTAGATGTCCCTTTGAGATGGTTCTTAGTGCAATGAGAGACCCAAAAATATTTGTGAAAAATCTAAATCTTTTATTGTTTCCCCCTACATTTTGCCATTTTGTTTTTTCAAGGTACGATTTCTTTGTGCTGCCTCGACTGCCCTAAAACTATCTCTGTAAACCAAGCTAGCCTTGACATCACAGAGATTCACCTGCCTCTGTTTCCTGAATGCTGGGATTAAATGTGTGCACCATCACTGTCTGGTTTCCCTGTTGTTGTTGTTGGTGTTATTATTATTATTTTACAATTGACTCATCAATACAATTTTATAATACTTTATTTGTTTTTTTAAAAATCTGGGATGGGAGTAGAGTTGAGACAGGGTTTTTCTATATAGCCCTGGCTATCCTGGAACTTGCTATGTAGAAAACTCCAACTTTGTGTTCACAGGAATCTGTCTGCCTCTGCATCCGTCCCATGTGCTGGAATTAACAGCATGCACCACCACATCCCGCTCAATCTTTTTTTATATTCTTTTTTTTTTTTTTTAATTTTTTTATTGGATGTTTTATTTACATTTCATATGTTGTCCCCTTACCCCATCCCCCACCCACCCAGGAACCCCCAATCCCCTCACACCTCCTCCTTCTTCTTTGTGGATGTAACCTCTATCTACCCCCCCACTCCCACCTCCCCACCCTCAAAACTCCCACCCCCTGGGGCGTCCAGCCTTCATGAGGTCAAGGATCTCATCTTCCACCTGTGCCCAGCAGGGCCCTCCACTCTTATATATTCAGCTAAGGCCCTGGATCCCTCCATAAGTGCTCCCAGGCTGGTGGTTTAGACCCTGGGAGCTGTGGTTGGTTGGTATTGTTGCTCTCCTCATGGGGCCACAAATCCTTTCAGCTCCTTCAGTCTTCACTCTAACTCCTCCATTGAGAACCCCTTCAATGGCTAGTTGTGAGCATCTGCCTCTGAATATGTCAGACTCTTGAAGACCTCTGAGGAGACATCCATATCAGGCTCTTATCAGCATGCACTTCCTGACTTCCACATCAGCATCTACCTTTGGTGACTGCACATGGGATGGATACTCAGGTGGAAAGGTCTTCAGATGGCCCCTCCTTCAGTTTTTGTCCCTCGCTTTGTCTCCATATTTGCTCCCTTGAGTATTTTGTTGCTCCTTCTAAGAAGGACCGAATCACCCCCACTTGGTCTTCCTTCTTTATGGACTTCCTGTGGCCTGTGAGTTGCATCTTGGGCATTTTAAGGTTCTGGGCTAATATCCAATAATCAGTGAGTGAATACCATGTGTGTTCTTTTGTGATTGGCTTACCTCACTCAGTATGATAATTTCTAGTTCCATCCATTTACCTAGGAACCTCTCAAATTCATTGTTTTTAATAGCTGAGTAATACTCCATTGTGTAAATATACCACATTTTTTTAATCCATGCACCACCACATCCCGCTCAATCTTTTTTTATATTCTTTTTGTAAGACAGCGTCTCCCTTTGTAGCCAGACTGCACTTAAACTGGTGACCCTTCTTCATCAGCCTCTCAAGTGTTAGTATTACATGGGTGTAGTACGATTCCATCACATTTTCATTTTAGCAACATCCTCTTATAGATTAGTTTTAAAATATTCAATGTATTCAATATATTTTTAAAGATATATCTTATGCAAACAATTAAGTAGCATCTAGAGCATTTAGTGATCACACAACATAACTACAATCATGTATAGAGTTATATAACCAGGATTATAAAGAACTGAAATTGACCTTTAGAAATCATATACCTCAGTTGTTTGAAGACACACAAAAATTCATGCAGAATACCCTACTGGGCATCCATATCACAGGAGGCATCGGGAATTTAAACCTCAATATTAAGAGTCAATTAAGATGCTTCCACTGATGTGTTACTGATAGCTACTTTTCAACAGACTTCGGGAAATTTTACAAAGTGTCACTTATTTAATGATGGCATTAGTAGTGTAGTATGCGCCTCTCAAGTCATATTGATTAGCGAAACACCATATCCAAATATCTAGTGTTTATTTTAGTAATATTTTCCCTAGGATTGAATAGGTCAACTGAGATAGCTGTGGTTAAATTAAGAATCTCTTGTTTGGTTCCTGTTGAGTAAAAGGTAGAGCCTGGGCACAGAGGGAAGGAAAAGATAAAAAGATAAAGAAGGGCATTATGGTCTAGTGAGTGCACACTCACATATGCTAATAACAAGAGCAAACATCCATTATGAAGAAGGGAGATAGACACGTTCTTGAAGAGATTAGATTTTGAAGGATGTAGACAGAAATGTCCTCTCATAACTCTGTTAAATTATTCAGCTCTCCTTGATTTGTTTGTCTCCTCTCTGGTGTTAACATAAGCTCTCTTGAGAAAAGACAAAGGTAGAAACTAAGTGGGCAACTCTGTTTCTTTTACAGTTGGTCCTTTGGGATCCTGCTTTATGAGATGGTCACTCTAGGTAAGGATGACCTCCTTGTAAGCAGGCAAACTTGCTTTTTGGAAGGTGGGTGTTATAGCCCTTGAGAAATTCATGCAGAATACCCTACTGGGCATCCGTATCACAGGAGGCATCAGGAATTTAAACCTCAATATTAAGAGTCAATTAAGATGCTTCCACTGATGTGTCCCTGATAGCTACTTTTCAACAGACTTCAGGCAATTTTACTTCTGAGGACAGGATGGATGATTGCACTGGGTTGCCATGGATTCTGACCCTCATTCCTCTGAAGTCTACTAAACTGATGATTCCTTTTCTTCTGTCTCCCTCTCCCAGACTTCCTTTAACTTTCTTTAGATCTCCTTTTTTCTTCCCTGTAAACCATACCAACTCTATAGGCTGTTTTCAAACCCAGAGGACGATTCCCATAGCAATAGCATATGAATGTAAAAATGTTTTCTTCAACTTAGAAACTGTGGCTCTTTTTGTATTATGAAGAGTGGAAGGCAGGTCTTATTTCCTGACTTGCCTCATTTTACTACTTTGCTTAAAATTCAGGACCTCCTAACATTACCTCTGTTCTCCAAAACACCTTTTCTCCACGTTCACACAACCCGTAGGAGCAACTCTACAGTACACAGTTCCCCCATGGTTATATTTTAGGGTTTATTTCTCAGGTCGATAGAGATTGGTGTTATTTTCATTTTATATTTAGAACTTCTTCTTCTGTTCTTGTGTTTTCCATATTTACAGGGGCACCACCATACCCTGAAGTTCCCCCCACCAGCATCCTACAGTATCTTCAGAGAAAGAAAATCATGACGAGACCCAGCAGCTGCACACATGCCATGTAAGTGGCTCTGAAAGGCTTGAGTTTCTGCAATTCCCAATCATGTTTTGCTCTCCACTAACCAAACCCTTTTTAATGTGCCTCAGAGGATCTTTAGTAGTGCTTATGTGTTAATGCTCAGCCGTAAATGAACCCCGAGGTAAAACAAAAACACTTCTGCTCAAACAACTACAACACTTCTGCTCAAACAACTACGCCAGCCACTTTTCTAAGTGCTGTGACAAACTCCCCAACAGAAACTGCTTGAGGGATAAAAAGCTTGAATTTGTCTCAGAGTTCCATTATGGTGGGAAAGTCAGAGCAGAGGTGCTCAGTCTGTGGCTGCAGGAGCACACAGACAGTTTGTTCACATGCTTGTGGACCAGGAGGTATCGAATGAAGGCTGGAATTAGGATGGCTATAACTTCCAAAAGCTTTCCCCTAATGCAACAAGCACTTAAAACATGGGCCTGTGGGGGACAGATCAGGCTCAAGCCATAAATGTGTCATATATGTTTAAATATCATATATATATACACACACACACACACACACACACACACACACACACACACACATCCACACATACAATCTTGAAGCTATCACTGAAGACTCAATTAGGAACCTATTTTTTGCTTCCAGAAGAAGGCTTTGGACAAAGTTCCTGACTTTAAAAAACCTAACATTCTGATGAGAAGATAGTTCAAACATTGGATGAGTAAAAACCCTGTCACTCATTCACTCATTGCATAGAATGGGACAGACATTTTCTCCTAGCCTTGTTACTCAGTTGTACTACATGGTGGAAAAGGCAGCGCTCTTCTGACATTTTGTGGTCTGAAAAATCTCTAGTATTCTATTATAAAAAGAAATCACATTGATAGGATGTTGAGAGTTGATGTAAAGAGAATGGTAGAGTACTAGTTTCTGGAAATATAGTGGGAGACAGAGCAGAAAGGTCAAAGAACTGAGGGTTTTATTTTGTTGTTGAAGAGGAACTATGTTCCTTCCCTTTCACAGGTACAGCATCATGAAGTGCTGTTGGCGCTGGAGTGAGGACAGCCGTCCCTTACCTGGTGAGGTGCGCCTGCGCCTAGAAGCTGCCTCTAGATCAGCCAATGACAAGGCTGTGTTGCAAGTTCCAGAGTTAGTGGTGCCTGAATTGTACGCAGATGTGGCTGGCATCAGTGCAGAGAGCCTTTCCTATAGCTACAGTGTCCTTTGAAGATGGTCCCAGACAAGTGACTATATGTGTATGGAATGAGTTCCTTCGAGAACAGAGAAAAGGAACTTTCTAGGGCCCACCAAAGGAGGAAAAAGGACATGAATCCTGCATCTTTTCCTAAACATTTTCCTAGAACTATGAAACGCTGCTGGATGAAGCTCTACCTCTACACGCCGTGTACACTGGAGCTATGAATCATCATTAATCATAGTTCGCTTTCCAGTCCCGAGGGCTGAAGTGCAAGTGGTGGAAAGCGTCGTTCCAAAGGAGGTTTTAAAAATCTGCCATGATTGTTAGGGAATGAATAGGGCAGAGTGGCTGGTCCCACTCACTCCAGGCTGGTTTACTACTGAAATCATTTTTTTTTTTAAGATTTAAACTATTACAGACTAAAAATAAACCAGAGGGGCATGGATGAATAACTTCTAATTTTTAACCATGAATTGAAGATAAGAGTTCTTGAGAAAGAAAGTTCAAGGTTCTTTTTGTTGAGAAGTGTAAGGTAGATCAATATATCCTTCAAGGAAAGGTTTTGTCTTTTCTATGTTGAGGGCCCACAAAAATCCTAGTCTCTTCATAAAAAGCTGAAGAAGAATGAGACTCAGCCTAAAGAACCAAAGTTAGAACCAAGGATGAAGTGTGTGTGTGTGTGTGTGTGTGTGTGTGTGTGTATGTGTGTGACAAATAAGAAGCATAGAAGCCAAACAAGAAGACTTAGTGACCCAGGTGGTCATTAAGAGGTACAGAAAACACATAATCTGATAGGAATGGATGGTAGCTTCTAATTTTTAACCATCCATTGAAATACTGTGAAACAACTCATTAAATTAGTATTTATTGACCAAAAGTAGACTTTTCAGGTGTATAGCTGCCAAAATCTCTACAATAAGGAAGCTAAAAGAAAATAAATGAAAGTAATTTTACTAGAAAAATTGAAGAACCCGTGTTTTCCATTATGTGCAAAATGAGATGACTATCTACCTCACAGGGTTGGTGTGAGGATCAATGAGAATATGTATTTGTGTAATATGTGGAATATAATATGTTCTCAATAAATATTAGTTTTTTCTTTTTTCCTCTAACTTGGACCATTTCGTTTTCCTCATTTTCTTTTTAAAAACATAACATGTACTGTGGCCAAAAAGAGAGCCCTGGCCCGTGATAGTACAGGGCAGAGCATGCCCAAAAGATGGTATGGTATTAGCACCACATGATTAAACTGCCACCATGGTTTTTTTATTATTATTATTATTTTTATTTCCAGCTCTGAGAACTGAACCCAGGGCCTCACACACACGGGGGAATGCTCTATACGGGCCTTGAGCTAACATGTTTGTGTGGGGTTTTGGCTGATGACAATAGTCTCCTATGATTTCAAAATACTGTAAGTATCACAGTGAGGGCAATTCTATTTAACAAGCTGATGTGTGACTTTGCAAGAATGCCCTAGTACCTTGAAAAGGACAAGAAGAGCTAGTGTGGTAAGAATGACTGGCAGCTGGAAACTGACACCCAGGCATCAACTGAAATCCATGTAGTCATAATGAGTCAGCTAAAGGAGGAATGTTTTTAGTTGCTGTGGAGATACCACAGTGAATAGTCAGGATTTAAGTGGGCTGGAGAAGGAAGGAATCCTATTGTTGTCTCTCAGCTATTAATTCGACCCACTTTTCCGAAGTATTTTCTTATTTGAATATTTAAAAAACCAGTGTCAAAGCTTGCTGTGCCAGTTAGTGGGGTATGTGTTTGATAAAGAAACAGCATTGAATACAGTTAGGCAGGATGTATTTAAGTGTGGCCACCTGCTAATTAAAACCTTATGTTAAATGTTATGAATGAATCATATGGGATAGTAGAAGAGAGTGCAGAGTGAAGACTCTGAATAGATGGCATTTAACCTAAGACCCTAAGGAAGGGTCATGTAATGACAAGAAGAATACAAAGAACTCTCCAGGAGTGGGACTCATTCGGACTGTATGACAACTATGAAGTAAGAGGAACCTGTGTGGGGCTGGGGAGGTTGTTCAGTGGATAAAGTACTTGCCATCCAAGTTTGTAGAATGGAATTTGGATCTCCAGAATCCATGTAAAAAGTCAGATGTGGCAGCACACATCTGTAATACCAGCACACCTTTGACAAGATGGGGAATGGACACAGGAATCCCCAAGAGATTGTAGGCTGGCTACCTGGCATACTCAGTGGTCAATAATAAAAGACCCAAAACCAAACAAGATGGAAGGTAAGGATGGATACCCAAAGTTGTCCTGTAATCTCCATATGGCACACACGTGACAAATTTGTCATACATCAAACATACATACTAAAACGTGCACATATGAAAAGCAAAACAATAATCATAACCAGAAAAAGCAGTACACAGGTGAGGGACTGAAAGGCTGTGTACAGGGTTGCAGCATGTATGTTAAAGGGGAAGAGACACAGAAGGAAAGAGTGGGTGGCTTGCTCTTCCTTTCTTGGGTATGTGCATGTGGATACAGGTAGCCGGGACGGCCAGAAGGTGGCATTGGATTCCCTGGAGCTGGAGTTACTGTTGGTTGTGAGTTATCTGACATAGGTGCTGAGAAGCAAAGTCAGGTCCTCTGCATGTAGCCATGACCACTGAGCAATCTGTCCAGCTCCTTTTTTTTTTATTTTAAATGAAGATAAAATAAGTTAACAAAATTATTAGTGTACATTAATAGAACTTTCTCAACCTTATTATAAAAATTTAGAAAATGCTTTACCACACCCACTGAAATAAGACAAACACATAGAAACATGTAGAAAACCAGGGGATAGTCTATAATCTTTAATTCAGTAGACTGTGTTTATTTGTTTCAATGTAAGTTACAAGTTGTTGTAGTATTTAGATCATAGGATACCCTAACATACTCTTAAGAGGTACAGATGTAATAAGGGAATTAACTCTATTGCATCATGTAATCTATGATGCTGCCTGATAACTAGTAATGTAAGGGGTTCGGGTGTCTGCATGATGGGGATTTATCCGAAAAGCAAATAAAGTGGCAAAAGACATGGCTGAAATCCATAAAGAAATCTAAGATGGAATAAAAAGGAAACGTGAGCAGATGGATATGGATGGAAATAGACCATCACACTTCCACTTTTCCTTCTTAAAATGGACCAACTTCAGTGTGTTCTATTAGGTTACACACTACTATTGATACATAGATTAATTTCACTAAAAGAAACAGCTCTGACATTTTATTCTGTAAACATATAAAACCAACAGAAATTACTGACAGAAGATGGAAATGTAAGCTTATCACCTGCTTGTTTATTAGGATATGGTTAGAGTGTGTTTCTAAAAATTGTAAGAGGGAATGATTTGGTCACTTTAAATAGACAAAAAGACGTAGATGGGCAGAGGATATATAAAAAGAGTTCAAAAGAAGACACTGGGGTAAAAGCCAGCAGAGTAATTAAAATATTAATGACTCCAAGGAATAGCCACATCTAAAAAGGGGAGTGTGGTGGTGCACAGTTGTAGTACCAGCATGTTCAGTGTGAGCACAAGGAGGTTGTAGATTTAAGGCCAGCTTGGCCACATGAAACCCTGCCTCAACAAAAAGCAAACCACAACCAGAAATGAAAGAAATTGATGCATCACCACATAATTGAAAAAAATAAAACACTTGTGTGGAAAAAATTATAAACAAAGATTATTCATTAAACCATCAAGCCTCGATTTCCATCACAGTTGGGAAGGTTTGTTGTTTCCTGCCTACTTCAAAACAATTTCACAAGGTGCTGTGAAATTGACCACAGTGTTGGCAAAAGCAGAAACAGTCCTTTAGTTTCACATGAACAATATAAAAACACTTATTTTCAAAAGTAAACTGTGACAATGTAATTACACCCTAATTTGGAAACTACAGTAATGGAAAAAGGAAAATGTTCACAGTATGTTTTCATTACTTCCAGTCTGATTATGGCTAGTTGAAACTCTTACATAGCTAACAAACATAAGAAACACTAGCCACATGTGATATTTAAATGTTAATTTAAATTAATAAAAACTAAGTATTCTTCCAAATCAAGTTTCCCCAGTCTCACTAGCCACATTTAAGAGCTCACTAAACAAAACCCTTGCCCACACCCCTCGTGTCTACCATCTCAAAAGGTCCCATTTTGGTAAATCTTCACTACAATACAAAGAGCTAGGTAAATGTAGTTTTCTATTTTATCTAAAAACCACATAAGTTCTAGAGGACAAATCTGAACTTATAAGCCATGCTAGGGGACCCAGAGCATTATGGGCCGACTTAGGAAAGTTTTAATACTATGTGTATTCCACACTACATTTAAGTACTCTAAAGTCCTGACATCTACAGTTCTATTTAGGTACACAGGATGATAAACTTGGTACACGCATGGAAAATGTGAAGGAAATGCACAGACAACCAACCCTAAAGCCACCAAACAAGCCTTTCTGTATAGTTCATTGAAAGGGACTTTAGCTGATATTTTCAAAGATGCTATAAAACACTCTGCTTAAGTTTCTGTGAATTATTCTTGTAATAAATCAGGTCCTTCTAGCTTTAAAAACTGGAAGTCTTCCATCTGGGAGAAACAAAAACAACAACAACAACAAAAAAAAAACCACTCCTCCTCAAACTGGGCAGATTGGAAGGGTTGGGCATCCTAGTGGTAAGGTGTGGTGATTTACGTCTGTAATGTATTTTCCTAAATAGCAGCCTACCACCTTACTACAGGAGCGAGTAAATTTAACAATTATGTAACTACTAAGAGGGCCAAAGAGAACCTGCCCCAGTGCCTTGACAGTTACTCCACTTTCTCAAACCCTATATTCTAGCTACTTATTGATTTCAGGTGTAGATAATGTCGGATTTTTTTTTTTTTGCTTTCTCCAAATGTAAACATTCATACCACTCTGCTTTCCTTCAAGGCATCCTTCGTCTGAAATGCTTGTCTATACTGCTGAACATTCACAGAATGTGCTTACCAAAAAGTCAATTCAAATAGCATCTTTTATATGGCTTCCTTAATTACCCCCTTGTTTATAAACTTCTAACTCCACTCCCAATAAAACTACTTGCCCTTTTCATACTGAGCTCTTTTATTGCATACATTCTTTACTGTGCCAGTTGCTTCCCTGTGCTGACATTTGCCTTACATGTTTGCTTTCTTTTTATTCTAAATGTTGCGGTTGCTTTATTACCAGTTTCCATCTGCTCTGGCACATAGGCAACGCTTTTAAAAACTCCTGTTGCCTAGATTTCAAAGCATATCATATACATGTTATTTAATTTTCTCAGTTCTGTGTCTGGCAGTTGATGCCTGTGTAGCCAGTTAGTTAATGATCATACAGGTTGAGAGATAATGACTTGTCCAAAGTTAGGTGGGGACAGTACTGAGACTGAACACCCTTTCTTAGGATTAGTACAGAAGGCCATCAGTCACGGATAGGATTACTCAGTGGTGCTAACAGAAAGGTGACCAGGACTTGGAAAGTGGGGACTGGGTGCAAGTTCACTGTTCATTTTGTGCTCTTCAAGATCATCCCACACTGGATCCCACCCGTACTTCTCCAATTTAAACTGTTGAGAATTGTGGCCTATCACTGCAATTACATAGGGAACTAACTATTAATCTTTACTGACTCACGAGTTGTATTACACTATGAAAAACTCTTCTATGATGACTGTCTGGACTTTTCGGTTTCATGTGCTATTTGAATATCAAACTCCCACCAGAGAGATTCATTTTACTTTATGTCTAGGCTGTTAGCTCCTGGATACTGTGAAGCACTATCCAAAGGGAGTCCGGTGGATTGTGTTCCGGTTGCCACTGGAATGTATCTTTACTCACTTCACCAGTTACAGGAAGTAGAACGTCACCCCACTTTACAAGGTGCTTTACAAGATCAGATACTCACAATAAGTACAACTTAAAAACCTTAGTTCAAAATTCAGACGAAGACACACCCATACCATAGAGCAACCGGAAAGTAAAAGTGGTTTACACACATTCCTTCCAAACCTATTTAAATAACGGGAAGAAAACAAAGAAACAAAACCCCTAGCTATTTTTTCTTTGCTAAGATAAAATATGCAGGAAAATGGACAAATCTGGCAATTATCACAGCGAGGTAACCGTGAAGTATTAAGACAAATCTTATATAGGGATTTTAGCTTTTGTATGCGTGTGTTTATGTGCTAGTGTAAACCAGAGGATCCTGGGGCTTGGTTAAAGAAATGGAGTGGGAAGGGTAACAGAATACATTTAACAAGAAAGTGCAGCGGGAATACCTGGGGCAGAAGGGTTGGAGGTAGTAGATAAGAGGTGGAGTGAGGCTCAACCAAAACAATATATAATGCCATGATGAAATCCGGGACATTGTAACCACCACCATCGCGCTCCTGCAAGCAACCCTTATTAAACTCGGTGAGCCTCCTTTCATCCCAGACACACACAAGGCGTAAAAATACAGGAGAGCTTATTGGTAAGAGTGGTTCAGCGGGAGAAGGGATGAGAGAAGAGAACGTGGTGGGAGCGACTAAAATTCATCATATACATGTACACCATCATCAAAGAGTTTAAAATAAAAATCGAAGCATATAAAAAATATTTTCCAAAAAAATAAAAGAAAGAAAAAAGGAAAACAAAGCGCTCGAGATCGTGGTGAAGCGGATCCAGTGCAAACCTTCAGTTCTCCCGAGGGTCTCTCCCTTTCTCTGCAGTATTCCTGGCTTTCCTTCCCTACCGAAGGAAGCGCGCCGTCGGTGACGCGCTTTGTCCGCGCGTGTGACGTCACTACCCCGCGCCGGCGGCACGTTGGATCCCTGGCATAGCGGGGTTTACCGAGGGCAAAAATGTCTATGGCTAGTGATTTCTACCTGCGCTACTACGTCGGGCACAAGGGCAAGTTTGGGCACGAGTTTTTGGAGTTCGAGTTTCGGCCGGACGGTGAGCCGCGGAGGGGCTGCGAGGGAGGGCGAGCCGCCGAGGGAGCGGGTTTCTGTGTGTGTGTGTGTGTGTGTGTGTGTTTTGTTTTTTCCTTTCTTCTTTATTTCAATTTACTTGCTTAGTTTTGAGCGATGGTCTTGTTGTGTAGGTCAGGGTGACCTCGAACTCACGATCCTCCTGCTTCAGCCTCCGGGATCCTGTGGAGACAAGTGTGTTACCACGCCCCAGACTCTTCCATTGGAAGAGTTTGCTTCTGTAGCAGGCTTGTGCTGTGTTTGTGAGAGAAAAAAAAAATTGCTGTAAAGTAATTCAGAAAAGTGGGTCCTGCCACTGTCAGAAAAGTCGAACATACAGGAATCGGAAACTTAGAGCAGAGAACCTGTGCTTTGGGAGTGTTAACAGAATTATGAAGTGATACTCCAGCGGATGCTTGCAATCTTAGGGTGATCTTTTTGGCCTACCCATTCATTCACTCTATGTGTTAAGGCTGCTTTATAGGGGAGGAACCCCGTGTCTGAACATAGGAGTGTGATATGTGTCAGGTTTGAAATACAATTCTTCACTAATGGTTGATGGCCAAAGGTAAGGGAGTCAGTGAAATGCAACTAAAAGGTCTTTTTGTGCTGCCTTCTAGACAGTCCGTCAGCCCTGTCTAAATGAGTCTGAATATCTCCTTCCTAGCCACCAGCTGTCAGAACTCTTTCAAGTGGACAGTGAACACATACTGTACTTTCTCCAAGAAGCAAATGACCACAGAGGTAGCTGCTGCTGCCCTGGGTGGAGAGGGGAAGGGTTGTGTGGTCCCAGTTACAAACAAGGACTGGGGATGACAAGGTTTTCCCACAAAACAAGGCTTCTTGACCCAGTGTAGAGTGCACCTGCTGTTGAGAAAGGGACGTACGTCTGTAGACCAGGGAGAGCCGGAGACAAGTGCAGGTCTCTTCTAGATGTATTATGTATGCAAATCTGAGTGTTTTCAAATTGGTTATTATAAAAAAAAATTGTTGAACCTCTGTTCCTCTGTACTTGGTCTCAAAGAGTTAGCAGAATTCTAAAGCATTTCAGTAACACTAAACGAGATGATGTCTGCTAGTATGCGATTGAAAAGCCCTTAAACAAAGACTGTACGAAATCCAGGAAGAAAGCACCCAAGATCCAGCATCTACTTACTTCACATGTCCTAGAACACCACCAAATCCCACGTATTGTTCTGAAGAAACCATGCACTGAGAAAAATAAGGTAGCTACAGAATAAGCTAAATGTCTGGCCTAGAGAATGGAGCTAAAGAAAAATACCAGGGACAGATTTCCAAGAGACATAGGCTGTCCTTGATGAGAGCTTCTGCTTTTAAGCCTGAGTCTGGTAAACAGTAAGTGTTTAAGAGTAAGAAATAATCAAAACTTGAAAAACAAACAACCAAAAAAGTTTTCCCTGAGTCTTTAATCATAGAGGCAGAGGCAGACAGATGGAGTTTCAGAAACACCAGAGCTACACAGACAAACCTTCCCCCCTCACAAAAGCCCCCTGCCCAAAAGAAGCTTCTAGAAGATAAGCACTTGATTGAGATAAAAGTGAGAAACCTTGGTTTCTGGGTGAGAGAGTAACCAGAGGAGAACAGAATGATCAGGGATTTGTTGAAGCCCCTACCTGTGCAGTGTGAGACAGTTTTGTCTTTGGATAGCTTTGCTTACCTGCATCTTTTGAGTGTTCATTATGTAGTGGGCATATATAAATGTAAAAGCTGAAGGTACTTGAGAGACAAACATTTAACCTACCATAGGACAGTGTGGATTTTATTTAAGTGTTTTATGCATGTTTTGCACCAGGTTCTTTGAAAGGTAAGGAAAGGATCATGTACTCCAAAGGTTTCAAGCATTTAGGAAGAAATCCACATAGCAGTCAGTGTCCTGCTGTTATTTAGAAACTTAATAACTTCAACCCTTGTTTTCCAAATTTTGTTGCTATGGTGGTGGTCTTTTGTTTTGTTTTGTTTTTTTAAAGATTTATTTATTTGTTATATATACAGCATTCTACTGGCATGTACACCTGCAGGCCAGAAGAGGGCACTAGATCTCATTGTAGATGGGTATGAGCCACCATATGGTTGCTGGGAATTGAACTTAGGACCTCTGGAAGAGCAGACTGTGCTCTTGATCTCTGAGCCATCTCTCCAGCCCTAGTTTTACTTTTTAATTTTATTTGCTTTTCAAATTTATTCCTCTTATAATTCTGTTCCTGTTCCTCTTGTCTTTGGACAACACCAGTTTGTCCTTATAACCCTGAATCACACAAATTAAGACCTCCAACATTATCAGGGGAATTTTATATAAGTATTGGTTCTCATGTATCTCTGCTGCTGCATTGTTCCACTTACATGGAAAATAATGAACCGTGGAATCTACAGTTCCTGAGGGGTACACTCCAGTAGGGTAACCTGTCAGTTTAGCAGATGAGAAAGACATTACAGCTGTATCAGGGCACCTGACGGACTAGCCATGCAGGAAAGCACTCACCAGGGGCTTCAGTGGTTTTGAAGAATGGGTTGAAATAAATCAGCCAACAAACTTGGCAGTTTGCTTGTTTGTGTGCTTCCTAGTTTTTTTTTTTAAAATATTATTTTAGCCATTATACATTAATATGAAGGAAAAGGATTAAGAGAACATTTTGGAACAATAAAGAGTTGATGTAAAACAGAACTTTTGAGACTGTGATCCTGAGCAAGTTACTTAACTTGATTTTATCTCATGTGAAGAGGTGAGAAAGTGGAACCTGTTCTTAGAATTCCTTTAGCGATCAGATGAAATGTTAGCACTAACACATCACACTGAAGAGAATACTTAGTGCTTAGACACAGTCACTTTGTGTTCAGGGCTAGTTTAAGAAAATAAAACTGTTTATTGTACACAACTTTAATCCCCATACATAGGAGACAGAGGCAGATGGATAGATCCCTGTGTGTTCAAGGCTGCTAACCTCATTACACAGTGAGATCTTGTCTCAAAGGAAGGAAGGGAGGGAGGGAGGGAGAGAGGGAGGGGAGGGGAGGGAGGGAGGGAGGGAGGGAGGGAGGAAGGAAGGAAGGAGAGCAAACAGACATTAACAAATTTGACCCATTTTATGTTGAAGGTATAGAATATTTTAAAAATTACTAGCCTGCTTTTATATTTATTGAGTATTTATTTAGCATTGATCTTTCATGAGGAAAGTAGATATACTAATAAAAGTGGGATTATGAAATTGACTTTACCTTTAAAATTACTCATGATGTTCTTTCTCTCCACACAGGGAAGCTTAGATATGCCAACAACAGCAATTATAAAAATGACGTGATGATCAGAAAAGAGGCAAGTTCTGCGCTCTCTCTCTCTCTCTCTTTCCTTCTTTCTCTTTCTTTCTCTCTTTCTTACTCTTTTTCTTTCTCTTCCTACCTCTTCCTTTTTCTTCCTTTCTCTTCTCTTCTCTTCTCTTCTCTTCTCTTCTCTTCTCTTCTCTTCTCTTCTCTTCTCTTCTCTTCTCTTCTCTTCTCTTCTTTCTTTTGACAGGGTCTCACTTTGTAGCCCTGGTTGTCCTGGAACTCACAGTGTAGACCAAACAGATTAGCTTAGAACTCAGAGATCCACCTGCTAACTTCCTTTTAAATGTCTAATTTTTTCATTTTGTTCATTTATTTTGTCTTTATTGACTGAAGTTATTTCAAGGGTCTTTTTCAAGAAGAAACTAATTTATAGATTGAAAAGTTCCTATTTTAATTACGTATTTACATATGATTATAGCTTTTTTGTTTGTTTGTTTTGTTTTTTGTTTTTGTTTTTTTTAAGACATGGTTTCTCTGTGTAGCCCTGGCTGTCCTGAAACTCACTCTGTAGACCAGGCTGGCCTCAAACTCAGAAATCCTCCTGCTTCTGCCTCCCAAGTGCTGGGATTAAATGCGTGTCCCACCACTGCCTGGTGATTATAGCATTTTTAAAAAGTTTTTTTATTGTGTATTTGTATGGTGGTGCACATGTAACATAGTATGCATGGTAGAAATCAAAGAATAGCTGGTAGAAATTGTTTTTCTCTTACTATATGGGTTCTATTGATTGAATGCAGGTCTTTTCTCTTGGCTGCCTTTACCCACTGAGCCATCTCAGTGTTTCTCATTTTAGTGTTTTTTCAAAAAAGAATCAACCCTGTATCACTTAATCCATTTTATGAAGTGTAAATTTTAAATGAACGGCATGTAGTGGCTGGGCTTCAAGTGTCAGCTCATGCGTGCTTGTGCTGGGCCCTCACTTTTCAGCCCTTATACTGGCCCAGTAACTGTAAGCTGCCCAGTGATCCCGATACCCTGGCGGAATACAGGGCCTCAAAGCAGCTAGAGAAGACGGCACAGTGAGTGGTAAAGGGCGTGGGTGTAGAAAGAGTAGCATGCATGAGAAGGACAAATTTCATTCTGCTGCTTTGGGATCAAATCAGTTTTTACTCCTATTCTGTTTGGATATTTAGGACTTGTAACTTGATTTTGTTATATCTCGCTGAACTGTGGGAAGACAGACAGGAGCATTCAAAGATTTTATTGTAACTGATTTTCAGGCCTATGTCCACAAGAGTGTAATGGAAGAACTGAAGAGAATTATTGACGACAGTGAAATTACGAAAGAGGACGACGCTCTATGGCCGCCCCCTGACAGGGTTGGCCGGCAGGTCTGTGCCTCGTGATTCCTTAAGTGGATAGAGTCAAAGCTGGTAATGGAATTATTGTGTTTTCTGATGGTTTCTTACTGAAACTTTGATTATATAACTTCATTTTCTTTCTAAATGTTTTTATTTTGGGATTAAAGATTGAAGTCAAGGTTCATGCATGCCAGGCAAGCAAATGCTCCATCCAGGGTACACTTCCCAGCCCTTAGCTTGTTTTCTTTGCTACCTCCAGGTGTTACAGGTGTTAGCGCGCAGCTAGAAACTTAGACAGTATTCTACATCTTTTTTCTAGCTTGTCCAGCGAAAGTTGGGATATTTTGACACTTATGAATTATTTATTATAAATTAGCTATTAATTATTTCTACTATATGTACAACATTGCAAGCTAAATTTGAGAGTTATGGTTCTTTTCATTGAGTGTAGCAATTCGATTTCTCCAATTTTTTGTCTTTCAAAATTCATGTATTTGAGTGCCCCAGAGGGAGACCTGATGGATTTCTTTGCTTAAGTGAACCATTGTGTTTGCCTCTTACATTCCCTTCAGAATAATTGATATTTCTCAAAGTGCTCCCAAAGAATTCGGCAGGCCCAATTTCACTCTGGATAGACAGTTTGGTTTCTGAATTGGGTCTTTTCAACTCTCGGAGGAATAAATTATAAGGTTGAGAGAAAGAAGCATTTAATCTCACTTCCGTGTGTTCCTGAGGATTGTACTTTATGTGAGCCACTCTTCTTGACTAGAAGAAAGATCTGGAGACATCTAATACATGCTGAAAGTAGCAGGACCGAAACACAGTGCAGAGCATAGTGTAGGGAAGCAGAGGCAGTGGTCTGTGTCCTGTGGGAACCCGAGTTACAGGAATATCGCTGTTAGCATAGTAGTCACTGGGCATCTGTGTTCACAGAGAACAGCAGGCTGTTTTAAAACTATGAAACCTGCTTCTGCAGGGAGAATGTGACCTGCATATTTGTATGTGTTAATAAGTTGTTATATTCTTTCACAGGATGGCTTGGTAATATACATCAGAAAATGTTGATATTTTCCATTTATCTTTGCCTTAGTAACATTTCTGACATCAGTTCTAGAAAAATAATTTCAGATACAGAGAAAGTTGAATTATGTATAAAAATGTTTTTCATCTGGGGAGAGCCAGTGCTCATATCTCTACAGTGGTGATGTGTTCTCTTTGAGGGAATAGTCTGCATGTTCCAGACACTGATGCTGGACAGTTAAACCAAGCCTTTATGACCGTTGAAGAATCTTAGTTAATTCCTAGTTGGCTGTGTCTCCTGAAGTGCATAGTTAAGCCTTTTGATTAAATAGCTGAGACTGTCTTTAATAGCATCTGTTTGACAGTTTAGTGTAAAAATTCATTAAGTACGCAGCCCCTTCATTAGCTTTAGATTTCTGCGTAAGAGCACAGATAAAATTTGTATGATGTTAATGATACTGGAGTAACTAGATTATATTCCAGATTATAAGTTCTAGTTTTTATTGAGTTTCAAAGAGTATTAGTCTCTAAGTGGGAACATTACCATTATGGAGAACCAGTGTTACTCCTGGCTATTGATACCATTCCATGTTCTATGCTTCATAAGTTTAGGATTGAACATTTGTGAAGTAAGGCTAGTAAAGACTATAAGCTTGTAAAGGTATTTTAGGGCGTGCAGAGAGTATTTATAATCTCCTAGCAGTCGGGCCCGATGCATGGTAGTTGATAAAGCTGGAGCTACTGTTAAGGTCATATATTTGCAGAAACTTACCTAAAGAGAAAATACGTTTTGTGATATTTTAAATGGATTTGTATTATATGATCATTTCTATAACATGATTTAATGTGACAGCTCTCATGTTTACCAACATCACAAGAAACATTTCTATGTTGCTTTCTTTGAGCCCCTTTTCATGACGGTTCTGGAAAGCAGTTCTGGGCTGGTCCTGAAACTGAGGCTATTGGTCGCAAACAGTCGATGAGGTTACATTAAGAGAATTCTGTTAGCAAATTAAATTTCTTTTGGTTTTTAGAGAGTCTCTCTGTGTAACCCTGACTGATCTGGAACTTTCTCGGTAGAGCAGGCTGGCCATAGATTTGAGTAGTTCTGCCTTGCTTCTGGAGTGCTGGGATTATAAACATGTGTCATTAAATTTCTTTCTCTGTCTATTAAGTTCTGGAAAGTTTGTACTTCTTTGTAGCATGAATATAGGTGTCTTTGGAGTAGACTTTTTTTTTTTTTTTTTTTTTTTTTTTTTTTACTGATGACATTTCTCTACTGTTTTGTTTCCAGGAACTTGAAATTGTAATTGGGGATGAACACATTTCTTTTACCACATCAAAAATAGGTTCGCTTATTGATGTAAATCAGTCAAAGTAAGTATATTAAAGTTTGGCTCAGGGGATTTGACTCATTAGTGAAGCTCGTGTCAGAGCTGCTGGCTGTTAGCCAAGGACGTTTAGTGTTCAGACTTTTTTTTTTTTTTAAAGATTTATTTATTTTATTTATGAGTATACTGTAGCTGTCTTCAGACACACCAGAAGAGTGCATCGAATCTCATTACAGATGGTTGTGAGCCACCATGTGGTTGCTGGGAATTGAACTCAGGACCTCTGGAAAAGCAGTCAGTGCTCTTAACCGCTCAGCCATCTATCCAGCCCCGTGTTCAGACTTTTAAGTAATTAAACACTTGTTTTCTTGTCTGTCAGAGAAGTGAACAGAATATCTCACTGTCTAAAGCACTCAGTTCAGCAGTGTGCACAGTAATGCCTCACGTTTGTTGGTTGTTTTGTATTAAAAAGCCTTGCTATTACGTCAGAAAATGGAAAGGAACTATTTGGACTTATCAGCTTCATTGGGCCCATATTATATCCTACTGAAAAGAACAGCAAGTGGGTGTGAACCACCTTTGTGTCCTTAGGTTCTCTGAAGCACATACTAAAGCTCTGCCAGCCTGAATCACTGAGCCACTTCTTCAGGCTCCTTTCCCTCAATGTCTCCATAGTCCTTCCATTGCTTCCTGTTGCCCTCCATCAGAACTTGCTCAGTATACGCTGCATGAGAACCTGGCTCTGTCTTCAGAGTAGGCATAGTGCCCAGGACATAGTAGGTGCTTCAAATAAATGTTAAAGAAGGACAAAGGAATGAATGCATACTAATTATCGTACATCTGTGTTTACAAAGATCAGCCAGTGTTTAAACCTGTACGTATATTCTTACAGTTGGTGAGGGTGTGGCTCTGTACTCTGCTGGGTTTCTAAGTCGGTGCACTTCTCTTCAGAGAGCAATGGGTGCTGGTGAACTGTATTCTTCCTTACAGGATGAGAGAAGCGTTAGCTGTTCAACTTGCTTACTGTAGTGTCAGCAAGAATATTCCTTTTTTCTTAAGTCTATAAACTTAATTAAATTGGTACAAGGGTTTCATTTTGTTTCAGGAATTTATAAGATTATGTTTCATAGGGAACAAAAGATAACTTTTTTTTTCTTTTTTTAAATCTTAGGGATCCCGAAGGCCTCCGTGTATTTTACTATTTGGTACAAGACTTGAAATGCTTAGTCTTCAGCCTCATTGGTCTACACTTCAAGATTAAGCCAATTTGAATCGGATGTTTTTGAGGTTATTTATATATTTAATTAAAGGAAGGGTTTTTCTATTGACAATTTTGGGATTTTTATGAATGTGAAACTTTTGTATATAAACTCACTATATGAAAAAAAACAGATTACATGGTTTTCATTTCTTGGCGCCACATAGAAGAGACAGTTCCTATATATAATTGATTCTGTAAATAAAAGCCATTTTTTGTTGAAATTTTGCTCTAATAAAATGTACCAAAGCCTGGATGTAGAATAGTTTTTTGTCTTTGCAGCTGAATCAGTGACTAGCATTAAGGACAGTTAAGTTGTTCTGGTTGGTAGAGCTTAGAGCAGAGGCCTCTCGACTGTAAATACACAGCCACATCCCAGCTGCTGCAGGTGCACAGAGTCACTCTGTCACTCTTCTCCCTCTATACTTCATAGGACTTACCTTTGTGACACTTACTGAGGTTTTTGCTTGTTTGTTTGTTTGTTTGTTTGTTTTACAGAGGTTTGAGGGTTTTTTGTTTTTGTTTTTTAATATTATCACAAGGCCTTTGGAATACCCCACATTTAAATATTTTTCTAAGAACACAGAAAAATATTGATTGTTGGAAGAACACAATCAGCACCCTACATTTGGTGTATCTTATTGTTATGCATGTGTGTACACATGTGTAGGAGCTGAGTTAAGCTTTGCAATGTCATATGGAATTTTGTCTTAGCTATCTGGAGATTGCATGCCTATTTTTAGACTCATTGGAAACAGGTCATTTGTGTTTCCCAGGTCCTTTGAAATGTCTATCATTCTCTTGTTATCTCTGCTAACACTGATATTGGTGTAATTCTCTTCCTCCACTGCCTGCCTGTCGTCCTCCTCCTCCTCCTCCTCCTCCTCCTCCTCCTCTTCCTCTTCCTCCTCCTCCTCCTCCTCCTCCTCCTCCTCCTCCTCCTCCTCCTCTTTTCTTGCTTTCTTTGAGCTCTGTGTAGACCAGGCTGGTCTCAAACTCACAGAGATCTGCCTGCTTCTTCTCCTCAGGTTACCACTAAAGGTGTATACCATCACGCCCAGCTCTCTGCTATCTTTCTCTCACTTTGTTTGAGTTGCCTCTTACAGATTTTAAGCTGGTAATAGAATACTCATTAGAAAAGTATTGTATGGTGGTAGTTTTGCATGAGGAGATGCTTTTCTGGACTTTGTCAGCAGACACACGTTCCCCTTTACCTTACCATATAGTAAAGATGCCTCTTGCTATACAATAATCACGCCTTCCCAGTGCTCATTCTGCTCGTCACCTCCCCTTTAATGGGATCCAGCGCATCCAGCAGTTTCTTCTATAGAGTGCTAACATTTATTTCATTTGTTAGTATTTTTTTGTTGTTGTTGAAGTTTTAGAAATTGATTAAATTTTTCATTGACAATTACACATATATGAATATCTACGTTTTAACTGTGTAGTCAAAGCAGTACACAGCACAGAGAACTGGTGGAGATTATTGTTTTCTGCAGGCCCCTCCTCCCCACTCCTTCTTACTAGTTGGGACATGTTTCATTTTTACTTTGCAGCATCCTGCCTCTACTTGCAGGAAAGAGTGCAGGCAGAAGAGCAATCAGTGTCAAGCTGTGTCACTGTGAACATTTTTAACAGGGATACAAAAGACTGCTGAAATTGTTTTCAGTATCCTGGCATTAGACTCTTTGTTGTTGCTTTAAATGTGTGGGAACTGGGAGCTGGGAGGACTGTTTATCTTGAAATTCGTCTCCAGTCCCATTGTTTTAATAATCACATCATTAATAGATAATGAACCAGATTAAAACATCCCTTCAACATAAGAAAAATAACTAAGGTAAAACAGTGACCTGAGAGTTGCCATGGTGACCCAGCTTAATCCCAGGGCTAGGAAAAGGATGCTGAAGGGTCAAGTCAATGCCTGTCAACATAGTCAGTTCTAGGCTACCTTAAGCTATACGAAGCCCTGTCTCAAAACACAGAATGCTGTAGGAGAGATGAGCTGAGTCTACAGACTCCCCAGATGATGAAGAATGGAGTCAAGGAGCTGATCAGTCTTCAAGGTATGCGTGGCCTCAGTTCTCTGAACCGCGATACGGAAAGAACATGGACTGAAGAAGTAAAACTTAGATATGGAACAGTATTTAACTGTCTTCTCTCTTAAATTTTTTTGTTGGCTCATTTTGCTTGTATGAGCGTTCAGCTTGCATGTATGTTTTGTGTGCCTGGTGCCTGCAGAGGCAGAAGAGGGTGTTGGATCTCTTAGGACTAGAATTGTCATCATGTAGGTGCTGGGGACCAAAACTCAAGTTCTTTGGAAGAGCAGCCAGTACTCTTAACCACCTGTCCATCATCTCTCTAGCCCCTGTTTCTCTTGTAACCTGTAAGTGGATTTTTATCTCTGAGTGACACAGAGCCCAAATATACCTGAAACCCTTCTTAAGGCCCCATTATTCTTACTGAGTTCCTGAAGAATCTTTCAGATTCCCTCAGTCTCAGTGCTTTAGGCTCTTCAAGGATAATGTGGGTAGGGTGATAATGCAGAGTGTTAGAACAGCTGTGATTATAAACTTGGGGACATATCAGGTGGTTTTGGGCACAGGAAATCTCAAACTAGAGCTCTTTGTGTGTTTTTTTAAGAGCTGTGAAGTTTATCCTATTTTAAGTGTTGTGAAAGTTCTACCTTAAGACAGAAGTACCAAGAGGTGGGACTCTGGCCAGGACCAGCTGGTCCTCGAAGTGAAGCAAGTGAGTCAGCCATCTTTTTTCCTCAGGCTGGTGGCTACTCCAGGTGTCCCTCACTTCAGCCTGGGGCAGGAACAGCTTGAAGCCCTGCAATGATGGCACTGTAGTCTGAGGGTCTGACTGCAAGGTTTGAATGTGGGACTAGGATTGCATCTGTCTCAAAGGACTGGGCAGTTGTGGTTTCACAAATAAAGACTTTCACAGCAAAGCAGCCAGAGAAATGAATATGTATGTGTATGCATATGTTCAGGTATTTTTCCCACAAAAATACATTTAGAAGAAAAACTTCAAAAAAACAAAATCTTCAAACTTCTCCCCTATCTTTTATTATCTGGTTAAGTTCAGTACTTCCTGTTTTATGCTGCACTTTTGTCAAAACAAAACAAAACAAAACAAAACAAAACAACAACAACAACAACAACAAAACCACAGTAGGAATGTCAGTGATAACTGCTTTTTAACAGTTTACATTTCTCTAGACGTTCAGAGCTTAATTGTACGTAGCACAGAGGAAGCTGCTGACCTTTGGATTTATAGTTATAGACATCCTCCTGTCTTTGTACAGAACCAAAAAGGTCACCCATTCTGTGTTCAGTTTCTGTTACCTACCCTCTCCTTTATCAGGGCACTGGAAGGCGCCCCATCATCTCCTGTTCTTACTTTGGTCACAGTGATAAACAGCTCTGGAGTTCCTGCTCACAGTCTTCACATGATGGCAGAGTCAGCAAACAAAAATAAGCAGAAAGCACAAAGAAGTGTGCCCAGTGCATGTGCTTAGCCTCTGTGGTGAGGATGGTACCCACTCAGCAGAGATAAGGATGTAGAAAGGTCTCGGCATCATTAGTATTTCCGGGGACAGAGTGATATAAACTCCGGAATCTGAGGCGGGGAACAGGAATTTTCTAGAGCAGCAGTGGCTCCCTGCTGTAGTGTGAGGGCTAAAGTCATGTTAAGAGATCTTCAAAGCGAAAATGCTCTAACTTGTAAACCTTACTTAGCCAAGGACAGAGAACTTCCTGGAATGTTCTGAGCAATTGCTTCCGTAAGATAACAAGTCATATTTTTCACATCTGTAAACAAAGGTGATTTGCCTCAATTGCATAGGATGTGCTTGATGACATGCAGGCAGGAGGTATTTAGACAGGAAGGACGTCAAGATGTGTGATTGCGCCCAGTGAACAAATCCCGGAAGTACTTAGCCTTATGGGTTTTGCCTTTATAAGCACCCAATTAACATAGTTTGTGGCCATTTTCTGGGAATCCTTGCTATGGTGGCCATCATATATCATGCTCATCAGTATTTTAATAAAGTTTGTGTCAAATTTGGATTCACAATAGCGGTAGTATTCTTATTTTTGCCAGCCGGCATTAATAGTTGGTCTCTCATTTCCTCACTGTTACTCAGGTATTCTCCCTGTTCTGTTTTTCCAGACACCTGACATGTTTTGGCAGAAAACCTAGCTCATCATCTTAGAGAAGCTCCTGGAGGCTAGTATGCAAAAAAAAAAAAAAAAAAAAAGAAAGAAAAAAAGAAAGAAAGAAAGAAAGAAAGAAAGAAAGAAAGAAAGAAAGAAAAGAAAGAAAAGGAGAAAGTTCTTTTGAAATCTAAGAGCTTCTGTCTATATTCCTGATTGCAGTTACTCTAAACCTAGGAAGTAGATGACACACTCTTGACCATGTGAAAACACAGGCTTGAAGATTCAGTGTTTTGCCCAAAATTACATGCTAAGAAAAGATTGGAATCTTGGACAGCAAATAATAATGTTGAATGTTGAATACAACTTACTATCCATTTGTCAGATTATGATTGAAAACTTTGTGAAGCTTGGCTCGGCTCATACCTTTAACCCCATCACTTGATGTGGGAGGAATAAGTCTGCATACCCTGGCTCACATCCCATCATGGCCCACACATGCGCAATAGCTGCATCCTCATTTTTACAACTTTAAGATCTACCTGGCACAGAAAGACACATGACCTGGACAACGGACAAGACAATGTGGTATGAGTAGAGGATATAAAGGCACACCCCAATCCCACAATAAATGAAAGTCTGCTTCTGCTTCTTACCTGACTTTTGGAGTCTGTTGTTGGTTGTTTTCCTTCTTACTCTCTACCCCTGAGGACCATTCCATGGGGCCGAGTGCTAGGGCAACAACTTGGGAGACAGAAGTGGGTGATCTAGATGAGATTGAGGTCAACCAGATTTACATAGTGAGTTCCCGGTCAGCCAGGGATTCATAATGAAACCCTGTCTTTAACACAACAAAACAAAAGACTATTTGTGCATTTTATTTAACCTTCACAGCAGCCCTGAAGAGAACTAACTTCTACTGTTTTACTGTGATCAAAGCACGAGAATCATGGGACTTACATGAAGTCATAGGAGCCCACGTTGGTATTTCCACTCACATAGCCCCTGCTCCCAGACTCATGCTTGGTGGCAAGCTAAAACCCAGGCCTTTCTGAGTCCACATTGTATCCATATTCTGTGCATTCATTAGGCTT